ATGCAGTGATGTGTGTGGGCGCGATCCCAGAAAAGATAGGTAGGCCATACAATTTTTGTGTTCTAGACGCCCGAAAATAACATTTGAGGAGTTGTGGGCTATCATTTTTTTCTTTTTCTTTCTTTTTTTCTTTTTTTTTCTTTTTTTCATTTTTTTCTTTTTCTTTCTTTTTTTCTTTTTTTTTCTTTTTTTACCTCCCAAAAGGGGGACCGGGGCCGGGCCGCCCCCCCCCCTAAATCCGCCTCTGAGCCACTCTGGCGACACGTAGGCCTAGGCTAGCATAGCTAGAAGTAGGATAGATAGGACAGGACGCCTATGCCTTAGCCTAAGCATCCTAGCCCTCCAAAAAGCGAAGCCTAACTTCCTAGCTTAAGCCTAGCCTAGGCCCTAGACCCTCATCATATCACATTGTTAGGACTAACGTGGTTTACTGTATGTAGGCTAGCCTAGGAGGCTAGGCCCTAGGCCTATGTGGCCAAGCAGATAGAGCAGGTAATCCTTCAATCATGGGGCTACTATCATCTAATTAAATCTATACTTAATAACACTGTAAATCAAATACTGTGAACCTACAATCTTCCGGCGGCAGTTCTGTGAAGATTTGATCGGCGAAAATAATCGACTTTGGTCTTGATGCAGCTCTGCTGTAACTGTGGTCGTCCATTATACAGCGAGAAAGATGACGCCGAGATGAAGTTGTCCGCCACCCTAGACAGGCACATACTGCGCATGCGTTGAATATGCGCTTTTCGTCTTTATTTATTATAGTGTTTTTCTCAAATATTTATTATCATCTGTAATTATTACCAGTAGATGTATTTATCGATTCCAATGTTACTATAATCTGATTAACTTTCAAATAAAAACAAAAACGATAATATGTTTTTCCTTGCCATAACATATCGAGAATAATAAAAGTTGAAGCTCATTTCAATTCGCCCTGTGCTATTCGCCATGAGAATGAGAGGGAATGACAACCCAGAGTGGTAGTAGCACGACACTTTTTTTTTATTTTAAATCTACCTATCAAACACTACTTTGCAATTGCGAATGTTTAAAGGGTTTTTCACAAAATCTGAAAATGGATTCTTTGAAATTCGCCAGAAGTAGGCCAAGGAATTCGAAATAGAATGATCCAGGGGCTGGCAGCCCACCCGCATTTAATCCGTACACGTATTGGCCATATCAAAAGGATGGTGGTTTATTTACGAGACAATTACATTAGAGTTATAAAACATCAAGGAAATACTATAGGGAAAAGTAGGCCTACTTCTTTTTGCAATGATTTCTTAATCCAGTTAGGCCTATTTAAACATAATTTAAACGTCTATGTTTCAAGACAAATCATATTCTACAATCGTCATAGATTATTAGTAATAGTACTGTTAGGCCTACAACGTTGGTAAATTTAAAATGTAATATTTCTGCATTCATTTGTTATCTTGCAATTTTATTATATTGGAATTTTAAGGGGCGTTTGCAAAAAAGAAAAATACCAATAGGCCTGCATGGGAAATTTTATCTAAGATTAACTGAGCTTGTTCATCATGCATTCGCAAAAGCTTAAAAAAGAAAAGGTGGTGTACATGGGATTATTAATTTTACCTATAATCATTTCCAGACGTAAAATCGAAAAACCCCAACCCATCCACCCCCCACACCCCAGCCAACAAAAAAAATAAACCAAAAAATAAACCAAAAAAAAAACCAAAAAAAAAACCCGTATTATTATTATACATTAAATTTACTTGCGGTTATAAAAATAGGTAACTTATGATTATTCTGTATTGGGAACTGTTTTTCTTTTTACGTTTGAGTCGTGTCAAAGTAAAGTCCTCCTCATCAGATTCCTATTCGACATCCGGATTTCTGTTAACATAATGACGTCCCTTCGATTAATTAAGTGACCGCATTGCTGTTATATTAATGTGCTCACATTAGTAATGTTAAAAACAAGAGATTAGTTACACTGGAGCCTGCCAATCTGTACGGTAACCGTTTTGATTAAATAGACCTTTCCGTTAAGCCCCAACGCCGGAACTTGTAATGCAGGCCTATTTTAAGTAATCGTTTTGATTGATTGCACTGGAAAACAAACAATAATAATACGAGTGAAACCAGAAAAACCTGAGCACCATGATCATTTGATAATGATAAAAATAATGGATGATAAAAATGATGATGGTGACCATGTCGATGACAATGTTGATGATAGTGACGATGATAGCGATGATGCTGACGACGACGATGATGACAGTGATTATGGTGTTGATGTTAATAATGATGATGGTGATGGCCTATGGTAATACTAGGGATAACGAATACGATTACGTCATAACATTTTAAGAAAACTTCCCCTACAGTAGCATCTGTGGCAAACATTGGCAAATCTGTTATCCTGCCCCGCCCCTTCTCCCACCCCTTGAGCTGTCAAGCAAAAAAAAAAACAAAAAACTTTAGACCTACCTTTTGAGGACCCGTGATCTGATTTTTTATTTATTTTTTTTTACAATGGGAAAATTAGGTGATATAAGTGGGTGTTGGGATGCATGTACCTGTCAGAAATTTCAATTTGGGTGTAAACTGTTTTTGAAATCTAAAGTACAAACTAAATGTAGCCTACGGTAGGCCTAGGCATAGATCTTAGGCCTACATAAAAAAAAAACAGTAGAACTTTCAAGTCTTGCGAAGAGTTTACTGTGGTTTTTAAGAATTGTAGGCCCCTATTGTTTCTCATGTTGTTTCAACGCATCTTACATTTTCAAAATGATAATGTAGGCCCCTATGTATCTATGTACGTAGCTTGCTATCATAAATAAATATCACTTGGCCTAAATAAATAGTGTTTTTAAAATTAATCTATCTACATAAACAAGACATTACATATTTATGTATGAAATCCGAACAAATTATTTTCCCGCGGGAGGGCCCCCAAACTTTTTTGGAAACATTTTACATCCCCACCCCTTGCCCCCTAAATTTAAACCCATACCCGCCCCTGAAAAAGTAGGCGATTCATGCAAGAGGCATGAATCAAGGACCGCGTTGGCCTATTCGTTCGTGTTCGTAAGGTTGCAAAATCTCCCGGAATAATGTTGAATATGCTTTATAGAGCATATAGACTTCTACATGTAAGAATGATGGAACTTAATGAAAACGGAATAGGCCTAACTAGGCCTATTAAATCTTGTGGCCTACTTTAGAGCAGTGATAGAGTTATGAATGTATTGCGAATTAATCGGGATATACGAATAAATATAATATTAATCATTTTCCCCCACAATCATCATCGTCAGCATCACCATCGTTATCGTCATTATCACCGTCATCATCTATATATTATTTTATATATTAAGTATTTTTTATATTTCAACTACATTTTTATTTCTTTAAGCATAATAGCTGCTTTCATTGGTTGTGTTTGCAGAGCAGTTCTTCTGGCTTGGCCATAAAATTTTATAATTTGTTTTGGTTATACAGTAATACTGTGTCAATATGTTGTAGTTAAGCCAGTCATAAACCATCATTTTTCACCTGAGCAACATACATTATGTCAGTTTTAACTTAGTAAGTCCACATTATTATCCATATGAATATCATAAACAAGGAGATACCAGTATTTAAAAGACTATTACAGAAATACCTCCTTAATGTAAATAAGAATTAACAGTGAACCAAGGTCTAATCCTTATGACACACCACATTTTGTGTTGACAAAGTTAGATTAAATCAAGTTCACAAGACCATTTCTAACAACTTTTTATTCACATTGTTTGCTATAGCTTAGATAGCTAGAAAACCAATATGCATATTAACATATTATTGAAAACAACATCAATCGTCTTACAAATGTTCATAACCATATTATTATTTTAAACATATTTATTTAGTTATCATATATTTATTTATTTTTAATTTATTTTATATTTATTTTAAATTTATTTTGAAACTTATTATTTTCAAATACTCTAAATGGGATTCTTTTTGTCATGATCCTTCTACATATAATTTAGTTACCTAACGTTGATATATTTATTTGCAGCATTTTGGTTTTTAAAAAGTTTTAATGATATTATTTAGGTCTATATGTGATTTTGAATGTTAATTCAATTGTAAAATGTTACACTATATTCTTGTACCATGTTTTTGGTGTTTTTTAACACTGTTGGACGTTTTTTGTTTATAAAAATCAAAATAATGGACATAAGGGAGTGTTGTCAAGAAACCTTTTCTTATAATTATTTTGGAGCAAAAAAACCCCATGTAAAATATATATTAATAAATAGAAAAGTTTCCATGGTTACCTTTTTAAAAGATTTGTAATCCTAGTAATTTAAAGACTTTCATTTGTAAAATGCATTTTACAAGTGATTGGTTTATAAATATAAGCAAGTGATTTCAATATTGATATGTAAATAAAATGAAGTAATTGGTTTTGATATTAAAGGCTTAAAAAACCCTACTAAAATTCAGAATCTTATAGCAATCATTCTTAGGTGAAACTTTTGTTTATACAGTACCTTGTTTAGAGAACCTCCGCATGCAAATAATGATGATTTCAAAGAAAAATAAAATTTTATTTTTGGCCAATTAGCGTCCAGCTGATATGAAAAAATGAAAATTCAGAAAAAATATAAGTGTTTCTTTATTTTTATTATCTTTTTCAAAGATTTGTAATCCTAGTAATTTCAAGACTTTTTATTTGTAAAATACATTTTACAAATGACTAGTTGTAAATTTAAGCAAGTGGTTTCAATATTGATAAGTAAATAAAAAGAAGTAATTGGTTTTGATATTGAATCTTATAGAAATCATACTTACAATTAATATGTGGAATGAGGGTAAGGAAAGGAGGAAAAAGACAAGAAAATATTGTTGAAATGATTAAAAATCAAGTAAAAATTGTAAATTTACTATACTGATTGTCTACAATTATAGAAGTTAATTGTTGATGGTTCATAATCACAATTAAATTTTAGAAAAAATATTTTTGGTTTTTGAAGGTGAAAAGCAACCGTATATCAGACTCATTGAGCAACCAAATTCTACCTTTATTGTTAACAATGAAGTGATTTTGCGTTGTGCAGTGGAAAGCAGTGTCAAAGTTCGTTTCCAGTGGTTGAGGAATGGTACTGTTCTACATCAAAAAGATTGTAGAATTGAAAAATCAAATCTGGAGAGCACTCTCTTAGCTGGTTCTGAGCAATGCGGTGTGGGTAACTACAGATGCTGTGCCCAGAGCAAACTAGGAGTTGTTTGTAGTGTACCAGTCAATGTTACTCTACCTAGTAAGTGTGATTTTTTGTTTCATCTTTAAAAACATTTAGGTGCAAACAACACAATACTGTACTTTCATCACACATGGAACAAGTACTTTTCATGTTCACCTGGATAGCTGTCAATCTTACTGTCCTAGTATCTGTTCAGGATTGGGCCTGTCCAGGTCCCTGCCAAGGGTGGCACCAGGATATCCCCAACATTGGGGGGGGGGGATGGGAATCCCCAATGAAAATGTGTAAATGGATGTGCTTGTGCATCGCTCAAAATGTCTCGGAAGTGATCCAAGGGGCTAACTGTAGCCCTTGGAAACTGACAATTTAGAGGTTAAAATTGAAGGCTTATTTAAACGATTCTAGTAATATGTAAAAAATATACATGATTTTTTCTTCTCCCACATGAAGTGTGTTTTTCTCCCTGACATTTAGCCATGGCCCCGGCCTCCCCATCATTTGTGCCACTCCTGGTCCTTGCATAGGTATTTTCACTTTCAAATATATCATTGCATTAAACATAAGCAGCAATCATTGAAACAACCTAAAACATATACAGATTTTAAAACAGAAACTAAAGCTTTTTCACTGTAATCAATGTATTGCGTAACGGTAACTGACGCAATCAGGAAGGCTCCACGATTCGACCGACCAATCATTATCACCAAAAGCTCTCGGCAATAGTGTGTAGTGACTGTATGGAAACCAAGCCTAATTGTGTTAAAGTATGACAGAAAACATTTTTCTAATTTGTGAGCATTTGTACTAAGTTTTTAAAATTATTTTCATACATGGAGCCATTAAAAGATAGCTATAAGACAAGACGAGAACTGTAAAACCATTGATAAGAGCACAAACAATGGTTTACATAAAATTAGTCAACTTCATGCAACAATTGACTGCACCATTTGAACGATAGCTAATGTAAAAAGATCAAACAATTTAATTTGATTAAAAATGAGGGAGGGCGGTTTTTTTTTTGTTTTTTTTTTAATCGGAACAATAGATTATTTCGCTTTTGTTTTTATCGACGAGGGAGAGACTGTGTACACTTGGTCTGTAATAGTAAATATTGTATAAAAACTGGTTTAATTTTATAGTTTTTTAAAGAAAATGTATTTTGAAGTCACAAAATTGCATTGTTATTTTTATGCTGTTGAAATAATTGATGCAGCAAAAAAAAAAATTTTTTTTATTGCATTTTTTCTAACATGGTTTGGATCAGTAAGTCTTTATGATCACACAATAACACATTTTGATGGTAATTTGGTTGTAGTTCCACATTTTGGGGACATTTACTTGAGTAATTATTACATGTCCATTTTACACCAAAAAAAATGTCAACATTCTTGAAATCTATTTTATTGCACTAAACTAACCTTTATATATCTAGACATCATGCTATGTTGTTATTTTCCTAATTTTCAAAAGTTAAAACAACCATTTTTTATTATTTGTTGATGGTTTCTGCCTGAGAAATGCCAGAAATCGTAAACTTTGAAGGCTGATTACTCAAATATTGTTCTTTAAACAACAGCATGTTTAAACTCCTATAATTTCATAACGAAATGTTAGATTTAAATAATTCTGTTACCATTTTATAGCTCTCATTTTACCGTTTTAATAACTAAAAATGATTTTTGCGAGGAGTGACTGGTTTGGCTTGTCTTTGCCACATATGCGTGTTCATTCATATAAATACAGTATATAATGATGCAATTTAAGAGTTGCAGAGGCAGCATTCAACTCAGAGAACACCCATTAAAAAATGATTAAACACTGCAACGCCATGCTTTCTAATTAACTTTTCAAGGAAGCTATTGTATGTATACAGTAGGTAATTTCCTTTATGTTGCTGTTAATGAGTAGTAGAGTTGGTTGTTGTGGTTTAATGCATTGATAGCTTCAGTAATAAGTTCGGTTTAAAACTTAGCAGAATGCAAAATGGCAATTAAAAGAGATAGCATATTAATGTTTGCACCTTTCTAATTATAATTGTTCATAAGCATACTAAAATTTATGCACGCAGCACCCTGATAAATATTGATAGACCAGAATTTAACAGCGGAGATGCTGTAGAATATTACAGTTTGACGTCAGAGGACGTGCTTTTGTTATTATGCAACTACCAATACGGTCGTTATACTTTAGCCAAGCCATTAGTTTACATAGCTTTTCAATTTAAGTTTGCAACTTTTTATCTTGATTTGTATCTTGCGATAAACTGTAGATGAAACTATTTTTATACCTTGTTTAGTAAACATGCCGCTCGACAATAATCATGGTTTCAAATAAAAACAACATTTTATTTTTGGCCAATTAGCGCACCCGGCCCCACGAAAAATGGAAATTTTAGAAAAAAAATTAAAGTTTTCTTTATTTTTATTATGCCCGCCGCTTCCTGAAAATCTCCAAAAATAAGATATTTATTTTCCTAATTATATAAATTTAAAGCATTTAACATCCCATTACTACACAGCGAAAGTTTGCAAAATAAGTTATAAAAAATGTCTCGCCTTACAAATACATTATACGGATATCAGATGTGTTTTAATGTATTTAATCAGAAACTATTAGGTATTAAATGCCTATTCAGCAGGCTTTTCTGCTGATTCCACACATATCACTCAATGAGTAGCAGGCTGTGCTTTCAGAATCAAAGCTACAGTACTTGTGTTCACAGTGCTGTAAAGCAACGAGTATGACTACCTCCACCAACGAGGTTATCTTTTCGCCCCTGACTTTGTCTGTGACGTGTTTGTTTGTCTGTGAGGTGTTTGTTTGTCTGTTTTGTCTGTTTGCCCGTTTGTCCGTTTGTCTGTTTGCCCATTTGTCTGTTTGTCCGTTTTTGAACAGTCTACAGGGCACAGTTTTTATCAGAAACTTTTCAACCCTGGTCACAATGATCCATGACCAAAGATCTCGAGCTGATTAAATTTTAAAGGGCTATGGTCAAAGGTCACGGTCGCAATCGACGAAAAACTACTTTTTATGTATAACAGCTAACAATTTTTATAAAAAATTTGTAAAACTTTGTTACAATGTTCCATGACCAACAATCTAAAGATGATTAAACTTTGAGAGCAAGGTCACAGGTCAAGGTCACAATCATCAAAAAAACTACTTGTTTATATGTAACAGCCTACAGCCGACAATTTTTATCAGAAATCCGTAAACCTTGGTCATAATGTTCATTGCCCAACAATCTAAAAATGATTACATTTTGAAGGGTCAGGGCCAAAATTCAAGGTCACAATCCACGAAAACTACTTTTTATATATAACAGCCTATAGCCAACAATTTTTATCAGAAACTCATCAAACTTGGTTTGATGACCAAAGAATTAGTGAAAAACTACTTTTTTATATACAGTATAACAGCCTGCAGTCCATGACCAACAATCTAATTATGATTAAATTTTGAAGGGTCAGGGTCAAAGATCAAGGTCGCATGTGACGAAAAACTACTTTATTTATATAACACCCTACTGTGCACAGAGTTCATCAGTCAAAGTCGGCCACAGTATTCTGTGACAAAAGTTCTTGATGTGACTAAATATTTTCAATGGTCAGAGTCAAAGGTCAAGGGCACAATAAACGAAATCTACTTTTTTTTACGTGTGTTTGTATGCAACTGTAAGATCCAACTCGAGCGGATCATTCGACCAAGTCATTGCCTAGACCGGGCTGACTCGAGAGGATCGGCCATGTGCCGCATTTTGGCTGACAGACTAGAAGCGATCTGGACGGCGTGCAAGCTTGATTAATGGGCCTATAATGATAAAGGTCGTTTTGCAGATGGATTGAAGAAGTAAGATGCATATTTTAGATATTTTCAGGCCGTATATCTCACAATCTACTGTTCAAATTTTATACAAAAAAATAATAGTGAATAATAATACAATATGAAATAAAAGTATTCAATAAATGCACAAATAATTATAAAAAAAAAATAAATAAAAAAAATAATAATAAATAAAAATAAATTTAAAAAAAAACAAAAACAGGGAGGTGCAAACCCAATACAGTCGATTAGCTTTGTACTTAATACTTGCGCCTTTACCGCTCGCCTACACTTCCCCTGACAAACATGTATAGTTAGTAATACACCTCTGTAGTGCAAAAAAAAAAAAAAAAAATAAAAATATAAAAATTGAATGAACAAACTACTTTTTATCTGTCTGCTTATACAGACATGTCTGTGTGCTTATGGTTTTTGCCGAAGAAATGTAACAAAACATGTTGGCATTGATTTCACAGCGCTGCAGATGAAAACAGTTGATCCCAGGTTTGAATCCCATGATGTCTTCTATTTTTTTTTTTTTCATTATCTTTTAATTAATTGTCTGTACGAAACTTAACATCTTATTACCGGTCAAGCCATTTAGATATCAGCACTGCACTGAATACATTTTTTTTTCCATGGGGACAGTATGCGTGGGAAATTTATACAGAGGAGATATATAATGTGGGCAGAGGTATGCACTCTCAGGGTGCCCTCTAGTTTATAACATATTGAAACCATAAGATTCAGAGCTTCTTACTGGTTAGTGGTGAAATAAATAAAGACCTCTGAGCCTGCCTCTTGTGTGGTGAAAATACTGATTGCCATTAGGAGGTGTAGTGACATAATAAAACCTAATAATTTCAGATAAAAAAACGGAATACAAAAACAAAAAACTGTATCCAGTGTATATATTTGTCAAGTTAATCACACAAGATAAAGATTACCATGTAAAGTTGGAAATGACACAGTATAATATTAAAATGCTATGAAGACTGGTTTTGATGCAGAATGTTTTTAGCGTAAATTGTAAACGAGAATTCTTGGTATGGATTAGTCTCAGATTTTGATATTAATTTGTGCTACACTACAGACCTATACGGCCTACATGATCCTCCCACCGGGGGTGTCACCCGATCCTAATCTCATCTCCAAATCTCATGATTAAATATACTGCAATTAAACAAGGTCTATATGGATACGTTTGAAAATCAATCAAAATAGATTAAAAGATA